AAATCACATGACCAAACATTTATTACAAATGTCACAATTCAAGAAACAATAAATCACATCTTTGGGGCGAATATTCCTTTTACGGATGATTTAAATACCTTTTTTTGTTGTTGTTTTCTTTTTTACAATCATGTTCATCACCAACAATATAAATTTCTCTCATCCGTCATGTATAAGGTGCTTGAGGAAATGTAAAGTCATAAACGGGTCATACAGTTCATGAACCATTCCAGTATAGTGTGAACAGTTGTAAAGGTCCTGATCATGCATTTTTGGCAAAGAGAAACAAGTCACAATTTGCCAAAAATAAATTACATTTGTCTGTGTTTTAATTTGAAATGTCAACATTGAATATTTATACATGTAAAAAAAAAACTGAAGACCAACAGAACATTTATTGAATAACGATGTCTCTTACTGTCATTTCATCACTGCTTTATAGATAAACAAATGTGACTGAGTAAACCCAGAGATGCTTCAAGTAAACAACATAAAGACACTGAAAAAATGTAGGAGGAAAGATGGAAAAATGAAATGGAAGTTGTGCCGTTTTGTAAAAGCTCCGGGAGGAAATAACTCTAATTATCTAATTTGACGTAAGACATTTAAGGGCTTTGGATTTAGAGCAAAGAGAAACAGATTATTTTCTCGTGCACATGACCAAACCAACAATACTGTGACTGGAACCCAAACTTTATTGAAAATAAAAAAAGAAGCCAGATTTAAGTTTTATCCTGCTTTTGGGTCATTGGATCACACCGGCCTACACTGCTACGGTCAAGACTCCACTGAGATGTTCTCACTGCGTCTACATCACAACATATTTCAAATGTCAATTCTCACCAAAGAACATCTATCCTGTACATTGTTACCAAAAGAAAAAAAATGTTGACAAAGAAATCCTGCTTGTATCCACACCAGTAACGACCATCAAGTTTCTCTACAAAACCATACATCACATCTTTACGGACTGGAACTGGTCGTCTTAATACAGACGCTTTAAAATTAAGACATTAACAGCCGTTAGCCCCCGCGCGCAGAATAAATAAAGAGGTCGTGCTGCAACGTGAACTTCGTCTTTTCTAATCAGACTGATATCAAGCCAAGAACATTGTGTGTATTTGTTTATTGTGGGTGTTTTAGAGTAAATGATTAAGCATCAGAATGAGGTGTTGGGGGGCGAGGGGGTGAGGCGTGGGGTGAGCACAAAGAGAAGTTGGGTCATCTGTGCTGAAAACAAATCCATCCACATAGATTCAAGTATTTTGTTTCTCTTCCTACAGGAGGCGCTGTCTCTCCTGTAGAACTAATGATTTTAAGTTTGATTTTTTTTTTTAAGGCAGATCAAAAAAATCTGAAAACTGCAGTTTTGGAACAGTACTGCTGTTCTCCGACAGATCGACCAGTACACGTGGCGTGAAGCTAATCCAACAGGAGGTTTTGGTACAACATGACAGAAACAAAGTCACAGAGTCACCTTGACAACAACACAATTCTCATATGTAGACCAGGAAACAGGATAGTGTGATACATCTCAGATGTCGTTGTACCTTGGGTTCAATACTGAGTGTTCTTTTTCCAGTGACTGCGTCGATTTAGATCTGCAGACGTGTGCATCAGAAGGATGATGGGATTAAATAGTTGTAGCCACCGGGCTGAAAAACGCACAGTCTGAAAGGAAATCTGAGAGCCGGACGCTGCAGACGAGAAGCTGGTTCAGTTCAAGATCTGTGAGCCTTTCCGCCGTTCGCCCCGTTCTTTTTCATCTTCAGAAACACTCCGTGGCATAGCTTATCAGAAGGATTCTCAAAGAGGAGGTAAAGGTGGAGGTAGCTCCGCTCCACCCCACCAACTCCTCTCCCCACTCCCTCCCCCGTCACCCTCCCTCTACGTTCTTTTCTCCACTCCTTCAACTTTTTCTTCTCTGACCAGAACTCACAACTCTGGAATCGTCACAGAAACGTGGCACCTTCCTCGCAGCCCTGTCGGCCGTGAGGGGACTTTCATGTCTCCTTGACTGAGGAGGGACAGAAAGGGTGTCAGGAGACGTGTGCGATGAGTCTGACTCTGGTCTGGATGTCCTGGCGGCAAAGTGGGCACGTTTCTAACTGTAAGGCACACTCCATACACATACCACTGGAATGAAAAAGACAAAAAAAAATTAAGAAAAAAATTCTACATCTTGATGAAGAGCTCGATCACATAAAGTAGTTTTAGATTTGATGTACAATTTAATTTAAGAAGAGAAAACATTTCTGCAACTTTTACTGACTAACAAACATTTTTTGTTGAATGTTCAGAGATTTTATCAGAGTCCAAACACGGAGGACAATATTAGACGTCCACGTACCCGTGTCCACAGGGTCTCAGCTCTGTGTCAGCCATGACGTCACAACAGAGTGTGCAGCAGTTGTCTCGGATGCTGACCTGCTTTAGTAAAGCCAGGCGACGGTGTCTGAAAAACACACACACACAAAAAGACGAGCATTTACTCAGTGCTGTTTCCTCAGATTATTGTCTTATTCCATTGATAATTGAAATGACAACAATGTCTCCTCTAATCATGTCTTAATGAAAACATAACTGTCTTCCAAATTCAAGAATTTTGTTACATGCAGCAGCAGGAAAAAAAATTTGAAATATAAATTAAAAAATTAAAAAAAAAAAATCAATGGACCAAACTGCATGTT